GGATTTGGGATTTGGGATTGGGATTTGGGATTTGGGATTTTGGCATTTGGATTTTGAATTTGGGTGGCAGGTATAAACATATCTAATATTTTTTCATTTCGATTTTCATCATTATAATCATGATCCGCAAATTATACGCTCGGGGTATCTTAACAATGGAGATGCTTCATACAATAGCCAGTGAAAATGTAACAATGTATGCTATCCTTGCAATTTTATTATTTATAATTCGAAAAAATATGTACGCATCTCCTACCCCCTGCTCAATACAAAACCAAATTACTAACACGCGTTTTCTTTTTGATTCTAAAAATTTTCACTTAACTATAATCATGTCTTCACCCAAAATGGTACGAAAGTTAATGCGGAGATTTTTCATTTATTGCGGTCTCAGCTTTTTATCTTTTTATTCATTTTCAAAAATAGGTACATGAATATTTCCAACGAAAGCTATCAGAATGGATTCCTCAATGTATGTGACCTTGAACTGTATAGACAAAAGATAGAGTGCTACCTTTCGTCTCTTGAGAATATCGCCAATACAGAGAAAGGTCAAAGGTGTGAAAAGGCAAATGAACTGATATGTAATTACAGACAGGCAAGTGATGGAGTTTTTATGTGAAAGTTTTCGTTGGAATGTGGCGTGATAGGGATCCTCGAGCTCTCTATCATTCAAGTCTTTGAGCTGAGTCACAAAGCTAGTGTTGGGGCACAGGTGACCTTCGAGCTTACTTGATGTTCAAGTCTTCGAGTCGACCTGACACTAGCCCCCTTCAGAGTACAGATGACCTTCGAGCTTGTCTGATGTTAAGTCTTCGAGTCTATCTGGAGGGGAAATCAAACGGAATGAATGAGAACATATTTCATACTAATTTCCTAAATCTTCCATGTCAGGGGGTAGACCGTGGTCTGGCAAAAGAATGGAGGGAAGAACATAAAGCCGATGGACCTCCAATTCACCTCCACCAATCAAAATTTATAAGCTGTAAAAATAACAATGGGAATATGAGTGGAACAACAAACAGCGGAGCTTTTATTATTGGATCATCAAAAATAGATCAGAAAAAAGTACAGATATACATCCTTTTATCTAGAAGTTGAGAACCAGCGAAAATACTACTAATATTTTTTTGTACCACATTCATGATACTGGTTACATTTTACAGGATCTAGTGGACAAGATCAATGCCTTCTTCAAAGATTCTTCCGGCGTAAAGTCAATGAAATTTATTGAGAAACTGCGGAGATTAAATGACGACTCAGAAATAATAAGCGATGACAACAAAAAATTCGATGAGGAGGATAAAGTATGGCCATAACAATAAAGTGAATTGTTAATATTTATTGCAAATTGCTAATTGGTGTTTTCCTTTTCTAAATCAAATCTGAATTGCAGGACTCCTTTTCTGTACCTAATGATAATGATTCGGAATATATTCCAAGGTATATATGATTATCCTTTGAATGATATTCTTCATTTTTTCTTAGACTGCAATTTTATTTCCTTTTGTAATACAAACGACACTGATGAATCAACTTCCGAGGATAATGATGATTTGAATTGCAATGTGAGTTTGTGTTACCAAAATTCATGTTTACAAGTGGAAATAAGGAATTAACCCTTTTTCTCACATTGATACTTTTAGAACGATCATATAAGTAAGAAGGATCCTTCAAAAATTGACAAAGGTGGCTTTTCGGAAGACTCATGATGCTATCCCAGACACCACGAAGTTGAAATTAAGCACAGGAAAAATAGTGGAGGATATCCTTTTTAATTTTTGTAAAGATATGGATTATGAACAGTAAGTTTCTCAAAGTTTAAATTCTTTTATCTACCATTCACAATACTGACGATGATTTGATTAGCCATGCCCATTCATATATTGTGAATTTTGATGATGAAATATCAAGGCATTATTTACCAATTCAGAATAGAAAGAATTAACGAAAGATCGAATTGGGGTTATACGTGTTGCTCAAATCCCAAATCATTTGGGATTTGGGATGCCAAAATCTCAAATTACTAGTATTTGGGATTTGGGATTTTGGCAAAAAATACTAATCATAATTTGGGATTTGGGATTTGGGATTTTGGCATTTGGGATTTTGGCATTTGGATTTTGAATTTGGGTAGCAGGTATAATTGGGGTTCCGATTATTTCACACGACATTATAAAAGAACTGGTGAGATATGAAAAGGTACTTTAGAGAATTTACGCACAGTAACGATGACATCATTTCTTGAAGAAGAAAAATACGACATTCGTAAACACTACGATAAAGAATGGATTCAATTGGCCATTCAAACACTTGTAAATCTATACAAAAATATGGATTCCTCTCTAATAAGAACACAATACGAACATTGGTTTACAGTTGCACTTCTTGGAACGTGCATTGACTTCTGTCTTAGGGACATTCAATTAGGAACTGATATTAAAAGGTTAACTATTTTTCCACTAGTATAAACAATAAATCATCATCAACTCACATTTTTAATATAGCTTATAACTGTATGTAGAATTGATGCACCGTCATCAAGTAGTGTTAACCGGAAGAATCAAAATCGAAAAGCAAATACACGTAAAAGAAAGCTCGTTGGCCGTAAAATTGACGGAATAATATATACAACTGATGAGCTTTTTGAATTCGGAGCCATAGAAGGTGCAATGTCCTTTAAGGGTGTCTCAGACAATAAATATCTCAATGAAGAGTTCAAAATGCCAAAGACTCTTCGAGATATATATTCCGATTTGATCAGAGCTGTAAATTATGACGATCAAAGAGCAAACAAACTCCAAGTAATTGGTATCCTACACCTTGGATTATGGATTCAATTTGTAAGATTATGGCGTGCCGGAAGGTCGATTTGCATTTTTCGCAAAGATCCCCAATCTTTCAACATACATAGCAAATTCTCAAAAAAAGGATTAAGATCCTTCCTTAAATTTCTAGCAAGAATATATCAATACAAGATATGAAAAAGATTATTGAAGCTATTTACTTCTCTTTCATATACTAATTATTTTAATAAATTATTATTAAGAATAACCTACAAGTTCTGGATATTCTGAATGATGATGACAATGATGATGATAATGATGATGAATCATATGATTTGTTAAAAGAATTAACTGAACAATGTTCTACTCCGCTTCCTGCATCAATTCAATTTTTTGTTGATTGTGAGAATACCTCTAAGAAAAAAAGGACTAATTTGAAAGAAAAGAATCCAAGGCAAAAAAAAATAAAATCGAATCATCTGTGATTTAACTTTTGTGAAAAAACAATCTAAATGTAATATAATATTTTTTTTTTATTTTTTTAATAAAGTATTTACTTTTGTCATGCATTGCGCAAAGTATAAAATTTTAGGAACATAATTTTTAATTGCACATTTAAAGTTTTACCTCTATTCAATAAGACCCAATTCTCGAAGATGCTCTGGGATAACTATATATGGGTCTTCGTAATACCAGATATACCTTAAAACAATCCAGTTTTCTTCGCACAATTCATTCTTGAGTTGGTCCCGTTCTTGCTGTTTGATAAAATTATTGGGATCTCCTCTATGAAAGAATTCAATATATTTTTCATGTTGCACCCCTTGGATTTCTATAGCTAGACCATATTCCGGGTAATAAATATCTAATTCTAATTCCATTGGGTGTTCTGATGTTTTGAGAAAATTAGATCGACGTATCTTAGATGGCGGTCCAAGATATTTTGATATAATTTCACGACAAAGATCTTTACATTTAAATTTTAAACAAAATGGACACCACGTGGCTCTTAAAATACAATTAGGAATAGCCTCCCATCGGTGATTTTCTTTACAACACCAAAGGAGTTTGTATAAGAATTATAGTATTTTTCTAATAAACATTTTTCACCTTTTTTTTCTGCAAAAACATGCATATCTTTAATCGTTTTATTGCGACCTCTACAGAAAGGACACCAGCTACCGCAATTTTTTAGACTCTGAAAGGGAGCAGACCATAAATGCCTGTTAACACAACGCCACAACATAGGTAAATGACTGTTTATAAATATTTCAGAAAGACATTCTCTATTTTTACCACGAGCAAGCTGTTGTGCGTCTTTATGAGTTAAACAACTTTCATTTGCACATTGTGAGCACCATTTATTACCATTTTTATTCTGTCAAGGGGCGCAGACCACAAATGACCTTTAGAACAACACCATTTTAATGGAAGCTTACAATTAATATAGTTTTCAGATAAACATACACCATTCCGGTTGATTGCAATTTGTCTAGCATTCTCAAGTGTCAATCGGTAGTTGTGAGCACATTGTGGGCACCATGTAGAATCATTTTTTATACTGCAAAGAGAAGCGAGCCATTCATGCCCTCTGGAACATTTCCACAAAAGTGGTTTGTTAGATTTCTCAAAATTTTCAGAAAGACACTGTCCATTTCGGCTATGTGCAATTAATTTTGCTTCTTCAAGGCTAAGAGGTCTATGATTTGTACAGTATGGACACCAAGATTTTGAATTTTTTATATGATCAAATTTTGCATACCATTCATGCCCTTTATTACAATGCCAAAGAAGTGGAGTTTTGTTGTTTTTATATTCTGAAGAGAGACACAAACCACCCCGTGCTTTGGCAATTGTACAAGCATCATTTAAGGATAACTTTTTCATTGAAAATAGATTATTATTAATAATTATCCGGTTTTTTTAATATGAAACTTTATAAGAAACACCCATTCAGTGGGCATTTCGTGTTAGGATAGCTCTTCAAGACTTATTAAGTCCGGGAGGTCCACATTCTACATTTCACCAGTATTGTCTTCATGCCACATGTATACAAGGTGCAAATTTTGACAAATACAATTACAGTAGAGGTAGATTATATGAGAATGGTATTGCAATATGTTTCCGATGTATGAAACTTATGTATGTCAATGTAAATTTAGGTCCAGATGTAGACCCATTCGATTTAATAAAAAATCATTATGATTATGAATGCTTGAGACCACAAACTGATTATGGATGCTCAAGACCACAAACTGAGTTTGGATGTGCAAGGGTTATACAAAGACTTTGGAGAAATTTTAGAGAAAGAGAACTGTCAGATGTATGCTTCTTAAAAAATGTGAATGATATAAAAATAGACAATTAAAATAACATATTTGTTAGCTTCGCGCCGAAGTAAACATTATTTATATTTTTAAGAAAACTGGCGTGTACGTGTGATTTTATTGTGATGATGCTCCTTAAAAATAAGGAACAAATAAAATTTTTCCTAGATAAAATTGTTAAATGATTTGATAAATGGACAATTGTAATAGATTAATAATTATACCATAAGATTTGATTGATTATAATATACAATGGAATTTAAATATCACAATGCTTTTAAGTTCTATAAATCCTGAATTAATATTCTCTCGCCTTCTTTTTTCTGAAAATATATGAGCCATTCTACGGGATTTTTGTTGAGGTGGTTGAGACTTTCAAATAGATTCCAATTGGAAATTACATAACGTAATCGTAATACTTTACAAATATTATCTCCAGTTTGAGGATAAGGTACATATTGAAATGCTAAGTTGGTTGTGATTGTAATTGTTTCAATTGTATTTGGTGATTACTATTGTAGCTGTTATAGCGAAGATATTATTACTGTTTTGGTGTCGGTTTATGCAAGATCATTGGTGGAGGAGTATAAAGAAGTAATAGAAAAAGAAGACGGCGGTAATGGTTGTTGTGGTGTTAGTAGTGATGTTGGCAAAATAGATTGTAATAAAGATTTCATTAACTGTAAGAAGAGTTATTAATCATTAGATTTATCGTTTAGAATTATTGTGATAATGTGTTGAGATGATGAGAAAGACATAATAGAATAATGTTTTTTATTATCGGATTTTTACGTAAATTAATGATGTAAATTATACAATACGTATAATTTACGTAAAAATACTGGACCTAAGTAGATTTTACGGAAAATTTACGTAAATTTACCTCTTTTAGTCGAAAACTTGAATTAGAACTATTTAAAAGAAAAATGTTATTATCAAAAGTTATTCTTATTAAAATTATATAAAATGATCAAATTATTTATATCCATGATAGTAATAATAATTAATATTTTTCATGCTTTCTTTTGCTTTCGTTGCAGTTCTTTCGATTCTTTCAAGAAATTAAATTATCTTTATCGTATTTTATTATATTTTATTATTCATATCATTCGGTACTTATAATTCAATAATAATATTCTTTTCAAAATAAAAAATATAATTAATGAGACGATGTTGTTATTATATAATATGTAACATATAGTTTATTTTCGCTTATCATATTGTGATTAGTGTCGCGTTTTCTATTTTTTTATTTCTCGGTTGCCAAAATTGCTGGTCACTTGAATTTAACTTTTTCCACTTTCATAATGCTCATCAACTGAGTCGGCTTCGTCATTTTCTTAATCTAAATTTACATGGGAAAAAAAAGGAATAAATTTATCAAATATAAAACAAAAATACCAAAAAAATATAATGTTTTTGAAGAATATTGGAATATGTCAGATTTATGTATTCGAGAGTGGAATTATTGATATAGAAAATACTTCATCTCTTCTTCTTCATGAGCCCTGCAAGTCGAACCTTCTTCTTAATGGAACCCTCCAAGTCGAACCCAATATCCGTGCAATTACTGTTCACAAAGTTCAGGGTTAACTTCACTAAACTATCAAAAACTTATATTCACAGATGCTCGAAAAAGGAAAAAAATAATACATTTACTGTAGATGAACTCATGATAAAAGAATATGGGAGATAGAAACGCATCTGAATTACTCCTATTTATAGATCACTACAAATAATAACTAAATATCTTAATCACTAATATTTTAATATATTTAAAAGTTATCCATTATAATTTTATTGTATTCAAGTGACGCATCTAAAAATATCTAATTCTAATACATGTAACATAAACATTTATTAATACAAATTTGTAACATTCTATGAAGAACATAATGTAAATTCTTAAAGAATATTCTAATCATTTCGGGAAAGGCATTGTGTGTAATAAGAAATTGGCGCATCGTTATACATGGAGAACATTCTAATGCGAACGGGTATACAGATAAACTGTACAAACAGTACGAACATGGTTTGTACCTATAAAATTTGTGTTAAATTTGATCATTTAAAAATTTGTACCAACAGATCGTAACATAATTATATCTAATGCGAACCAATTTTAGAATTGATTGCCATTTGAAATTTTTAATATTTACAAATCTATATAAATGTCAAGCATTCAAAATTAAACTCATTTAAAAAAGTAGTATTATTTCTAATTTCACATCCTTATAAGCAATATAATGCACATAACATGAAAGATTCTTATAAACTTTTTTTATAATCAATTAATCACGTTTGAAATTTTATTAATTTTATTCCATTTCAAATTTTTCATAAAAATAATAGAACTTTGAAATTCAATAAATTTTTTTAAAGTTTTGACAGAAAAATCTTCACAAAAATGGATTCTATATGTTACAATGAAATTGAAACAACCAAAGATAAAGAGAAATTTCAGTGGTACTTGAAATCAGCTGAAGGGGGAAATCATTTGGGACAGAATAATCTTGAAAATTGTTATCATGATGGGGTTGGAACCACAAAAGATGAAGAGAAAGCATTTCAGTGGTACTTGAAATCAGCTGAAGGGAGAAATCATGAAGGACAGAATAATCTTGGAGAGTGTTATTATTACGGAAGAGGAGTTAGAAAAGATGAAGAGAAAGCACTTCTGTGATACTTGAAATCAGCTGAAGGGGGAAATAATAATGGACAGAGTAATCTTGGATATTGTTATGAAAATGGAATTGGAACCACAAAAGATGAAGAGAAAGCATTTCAGTGGTACTTGAAATCGGCTGAAGGGGGAAATCATTTGGGACAATCTAATCTTGGATATTGTTATGAAAATGGAATTGGAATCACAAAAGATGAAGATAAAGCATTTCAGTGGTACTTGAAATCAGCTGAAGGGGGAAATCATATAGGACAGTATAATCTTGGAGAGTGTTATTATTTTGGAACTGGAACCACAAAAGATGAAGAGAAAACATTTCAGTGGTACTTGAAATCAGCTGAAGGGGGAAATCATGAAGGACAGAATAATCTTGGAAAGTGTTATTATTATGGAAGAGGAGTTAGAAAAGATGAAGAGAAAGCACTTCTGTGGTACTTGAAATCAGCTGAAGGGGAAAATAATAACGGACAGAGTAATCTTGGATATTGTTATGAAAATGGAATTGGAACCACAAAAGATGAAGAGAAAACATTTCAGTGGTACTTGAAATCAGCTGAAGGGAGAAATCATTCAGGACAAAATAATCTTGGATATTGTTATAATAATGGAATTGGAACCACAAAAGATGAAGAGAAAGCATTTCAGTGGTACTTGAAATTAGCTGAAGGGGGAAATCATTCAGGACAGGATAATCTTGGAGAGTGTTATTATTTTGGAACTGGAATCACAAAAGATGAAGAGAAAGTATTTCAGTGGTACTTGAAATCAGCTGAAGGGGGAAATTATGAAGGACAAAATAATCTTGGAGAGTGTTATTATTATAGAAGAGGAGTTAGAAAAGATGAAGAGAAAGTACTTCTGTGGTACTTGAAATCAGCTGAAGGGGGAAATCATTTGGAACAGAATAATCTTGGAAATTGTTATTGTGATGGGGTTGGAACCACAAAAGATGAAGAGAAAGCATTTCAGTGGTACTTGAAATCAGCTGAAGGGGGAAATCATAAAGGACAGAATAATCTTGGAGAGTGTTATTATTATGGAAGAGGAGTTAGAAAAGATGAAGAGAAAGCATTTCAGTGGTACTTGAAATCAGCTGAAGGGAGAAATCTTATGGAACAGAATAATCTTGGATATTGTTATCAAAATGGAATTGGAACCACAAAAGATGAAACGAAAGCATTTCAGTGGTACTTGAAATCAGCTGAAGGGGGAAATCATAATGGACAGAATGATCTTGGACATTGTTATGAAAATGGAATTGGAACCACAAAAGATGATGAGAAAGTATTTCAGTGGTACTTGAAATCAGCTGAAGGGAGAAATCATTTGGGACAATTCAATCTTGGAAATTTTTATTTTAATGGAATTGGAATCACAAAAGATAAAGAGAAAGCATTTCATTGGTACTTGAAATCAGCTGAAGGGGGAAATAATGATGGGCAGTCTTATCTTGGATATTGTTATAAAAATGGAATTGAAACCACAAAAGATGAAGATAAAGCATTTCAGTGGTACTTGAAATCAGCTGAAGGAGGAAATAATCATGTCCAATCTAATCTTGAATATTGTTATCTTAAAGGACTTGGAACCACAAAAGATGATGAGAAAATATTTCAGTGGTGCTTGAAATCAGCTGAAGGGGGAAATCATGTGGGACAGAATAATCTTGGATATTGTTATCTTAATGGAATTGGAATTACAAAAGATGAAGAGAAAGCATTTCAGTGATACTTGAAATCAGCTGAAGGGGGAAATCATGAAGGACAGAATAATCTTGGATATTGTTATGATAATGGAATTGGAACCACAAAAGATGAAGAGAAAGCATTTCAGTGGTACTTGAAATCAACTGAAGGGGGAAATCATTCAGGACAAAATAATCTTGGATATTGTTATAATAATGGAATTGGAACCACAAAAGATGAAGAGAAAGCA